CAGCTGCGCGGCCCGGGCAGCGCCCGGCGGGGCTCCTTCCTGATTTCCCAGACGAAGCCCCCGCCCACCCCGACGAGTCAGTTTAAAATCCCCGCGTTTCCTCCGGGTGAGTAAACGACAAATTTTAATGGGGTTTTAAAATAATGAACAAGTTATATTTAAAGTTTGTAAAATTGTATTTAACGTTTGAAAGCCCTGGTGATGGCCTCTGCGGTCCTCTCCCTCGGAGCGCCGACGTGGCTCAGGCTCATCTGGACGAGCAGCTGTGGGCGCGTCCTCCGCCCTCGCCCACGCACACGTGCTCCTCTGCTGCCCTGGAGGCCGTCTCTTGCAGTTTCAGCGTTTTGATTATTACAGATTTTCTTTTTAGTATATTTGTATGGATTTCAGAGAGGAAGGGAGACGGAGATAGAAACATCAATGATGAGCCCTAGCCAGTTTGCTCAGTGGATAGAGCATCGGCCTGCAGACCAAAGGGTCCCGGGTTCGATTCCGGTCAAGGGCACGTACCTTGGTTGCAGGCTCCTCCCTGGAGGCAACCAATCGATGTGTTTCTCTCACATCAATGTTTCTCCGTCTTTCTCTCTTCCACTCTTCCTAAAAATCAATGGGAAAATATCCTCAGGTGACGATTAACAAATAAATAAAAATAAAACTTATTTTTAAAAAAAGGAACATCAACGATGAGAGAGAATCATGGATCGGCTGCCTCCTGCATGCCCCACACTGGGGATGGAGCCCACAGCCCGGGCCTGTGCCCTGACCGGGAATTGAACTGTGACCTGGTTCACAGGTTGATGCTCACTGAGCCACACCGGTGGGCACAATGGGAGGGGACACTGCAGGGCAGTGCCTCGCCCGCCCTTCCCCTTGGGGCTGGGGCCTGGCCCTGCAACCTTGGACGCCCCGAGTGTGGGAGCCAGTGTCATTAGGGGTGACGCGTGGGGCTGCAGCCTGGGGTCTCGTCTGGACGAGCAGCTGTGGGCGCGTCCTCCGCCCTCGCCCACGCACACGTGCTCCTCTGCTGCCCTGGAGGCCGTCTCTTGCAGTTTCAGCGTTTTGATTATTACAGATTTTCTTTTTAGTATATTTGTATGGATTTCAGAGAGGAAGGGAGACGGAGATAGAAACATCAATGATGAGCCCTAGCCAGTTTGCTCAGTGGATAGAGCATCGGCCTGCAGACCAAAGGGTCCCGGGTTCGATTCCGGTCAAGGGCACGTACCTTGGTTGCAGGCTCCTCCCTGGAGGCAACCCTGGTCAGGGCGCCTGCAGGAGGCAACCCATCGATGTGTTTCTCTCACATTGATGTTTCTCTCTCCCATCGATGTGTCTCTCTCCCATCGATGTGTCTCTCTCCCCCCGCCTGTCGTCACCTCGAGATGAGGAGAGAGCACCGGAAACACTCGTCAGCCACAGGCCTCGCGGCAGCAGTGGGGCCCCCAAGGGTGACTGGGGTGCCCTGGATCAGGGAAATGAGGACGCGGGGGCTCGGGGGGCTCGCCTGGAGCCAGACCCGATAGCGCTGCTGCCGTGGGCGAGCCCTGCTGAGCTCGGTCCCGG